CGTTCGCATATTCTCGTTTTTTTGTCATTGGTGACAATCTATAAACGAAAACATGATCTCTGTAATTTTTAAATTAAAATAATTTGAAGTATAAATAAAGCAAAATTATAGCTGATATTGATGATTCAAACTTGAGCCACCTGTCCATATTGCGTCTTGTTACATAAAGAAAACAAAAATCAATAATTTCTAAATGTATACCTTGACAGTATTCATTTTCTATTTATGTCATTTATGCATTTAGTTATATTTCCTTTAAAATAAATGTTGCTTTTATCAATCCTTATATCCTATCATCTATCACAATGTTTAAACACTTACTTATTAAGCATCATGTAAAATATTGATCAGTAGATACTTTAACAAATAATATTTGTTTATTTATTGAGAAATTTGGTGGCTGCAAAATAATTTTCTTAATCAATCTTTATGTATTATATAATTATCTCTTAATTAATAAGAAATCTTAATTAAAATAGTCTTTATAATATTTAAAATTTCAATATTCTTGAAAGTTCAACCAAATATTTATGTTTTAAAAATTGCTTCTTTTATCTTGCATCATATCCTTTTCATTTTGCAAAAATGTTAATTATTATTGAGAAAAAAAAGATATAAAAAAGAAAGTCTTAGAATATTAAGTAAAAAATAAGAAATTTAATTTCTAAAATTTAAAAAAGAAATGTGATGTCAGAAATGTATTTTTTTTTTTCCTTATAGTTTAATTAATATATTAAATTATTTCTTTTTAACAGTGCCGAGCGACTGAACGTACCGTAGATAGTAAGAAGAAAAGAAACATGAAAAACACCATTGCGTTAGCTCAATGTACTCGTGTTCGAGACTGGAAAATGAGAAGAATAATAGTAAATGGCACTGCCACTAATTAACAATACCGCGACAGTGGTTATGGAAAGAGAGCAATATTTTAAATGTTTTAACGCGATACCATGAGCATTAACAGCATAGTACTATTTCATGTTTCTACAGAGTTAAGGCTCCAGAAAAGGCAATTCAATAAAAATCGATTTGTCCTTAAAATTTCCTTATTTCGATTCAGTATATGATAATTTAAGATAAAAACAAAATTATACATAAAGATTATGATAATCTTTCAATTTCTCATTTCTATAATAGTTTATATTAGTCATTTACTATTTAAACGATCTAAATCTTTTATATTATTAGTATAATCATTAAAAAAATTATGAGATAAATATTGTCAAGATTATTTTCAATATATCGACGATAATATTTTTTCAAAAATATGACGTAATAAATTCTATAAATAAATTTTATTTAAAGTTTGAATTACAAATATTTCTTTCTTTTTTTCTTTGAATAAAAACAAGTAATCAATGAGCCTTAACTCTCGTAAATTCCATCCACTTTAAAACTGACAGGTAACCATAAAAATTGTACAAATAATTCACATTTCATTCGTAGATTATGAATTTACTTACGATAATACGTTTTGCTTGTCATCCTTTGATACATGAAGTGATTCGATATCGAACTTTTGATTGATTTTACGATCGAATTCGATATATATTTCCATCGAACGAATATCGATTATTAATAAATCTTGAAACGGAATCGATTCTGTCATTATCGAGTAAAAGAAAGAGATTAAGAAATAAATTCATTAAACTATATTAATTAAGCATTCTTTTACTCAATAGATATTATTTTCGATATTGCATTAAATTATTTAATTATCTATTTTTTGCAATACTATTTAAAATAATAATCGTTCCATGCTACATGGAATATTATTTCATTCGATCGTGGATTTGACAAAATTTTTATGATTTCGATAGATTGTTTGATGTTACACATTTTTCATATTGTAATCTTGATAAAAATTGTATAAAAAAATACTATTTTTTATGCTTCAGACTTATCATTTCGTTTCATCGATCGAACAATCTCTCGAATCATTTCAAATCCACGAAAAATTTCAAATTATCGTAAAATAATGAAATTGGGTGACAAGATTTGAATGTATTTCATTTCCTGCCCTATATGTATATATATGGACATGAGCTACAATTGTATGATGATTTAGGTGATAAAATTGATCCATAAGCGAAGTAGTGTTTGCTCTAGGCCCACTTCTGCGTGTATGCATATTACGATATCGATTAATAGCGATTATCCATAGGCGTAAATAACCTTACTAGCCTACTTAGTGTTTAGAGAACGATTCTAGCGATTAACAATCCCATTTTTTCACACAGACAGAACGCAAGATATTGATCAGTGACTGGAAATACTCTTTTGAGGATAAATTGTAAAGGAAAACAGAAAAAAAATCCCAAATTCAAACGTAGAACTGCTAGATTCCCTTTGCTCCCCAAGTGTGACGTTTTTTCAAACGGAACTTAGGTTAGAATAAGCCAAATCTAGAAACTATGAACGGTTTGTGAAAATATTTCAAATTGCTGTCTCAAATGATCATAGGATAATTGTAATTGCTATACTCGAACATTTTCGAGTTAGTGTAATCCTATAGATTTCTTTTAATCCATATTATATATTTAATTGTGATTTTTTTTTTTTTTGATTAGATCGATCGTTCAATATTCAGTCGATGCGACAATTTTATGTTTAAAAAATATCATATTAGAAGAAAAACGCTTTTCTATCTGAAACTGCAAAGAATTTAATAATTCATTTCCTTTGACATTTTATATATGTTCAGTGAATGTTCTATAATTCACCAAATTCTTAAGTAATTAATTAAAAATGGATAATTCTAAAACTTCTAAAATCTATCAACTGAAAATATTACAAATCAGAGATATTAAAAATTCAATTATTTTTAATTTGTCGCAAACAAATTTTGACTAGTATTGATCGATAAATTACAATTAATCGATTTTTCATTCTATTCTATTATCAACAAATAGATTATTATGATATTTATTAAAATATTTCAAATATCTTTAGAACATTTTCTGAACATTGTTTATTTTATATTTTTCAGTTTTAAATGAAAAAAGAAAAAATACAGAAGAAAAAAATATATCGGAAGGCGATAAAGTATCTATTTTTGCACTTGACTAAAAATGCTAAAGAAAATTGCGAAGAAAAAAAAATAATAGACGAAGAAGAAGATAAAAAAAATTTCCTCTTAATTCCAAATATTTGGTTATTTGATAGAAATTAAAGATTTTCTGTGACTCGATCTTCTATGAACAAAAGGTACATATATTTATACGTAGATTAAAAAAAAGAATAAAAGGAGAAAGTGGAGATATGAATGTAGGATGATAGAAAAATCCAATGTTCGTAAATAATCGCAAATCGTTCTTTCTTGTGCGCGGACAGATTGATAGAACTTTTTTTTATTCGAATGATATGAATAATTACTTAATAATTAATCGAATAATCAATGCTATTAGCATCGATCTTCAATTGAGATCGCGGCGGGATTGTAAAATTTTTGTCTAGCTGTTATTGCAATTCGAATTGCACTAAAGCTTTGTAGAAACACAAAATTCGATGCATAACATCTTAAATGGAACTGTGTGAAATTGATTTTGTGGAAATACTAATCCCAACATTCTGATTTAAAGAAAAACAAAAATCGACAGCTATAAGATTGTACATATATGTTTACGGCCATATTACACTAATAATAAGTATCACGAGTTCTTAAAACGTGTGCAAATTAAAATTATTTGAAGGTTAAGTAACCTCAAAGATAAGATCATCAGGAATGTTTTCTTTGAAATCATATATCTCGAGTGATGTGAAAAATAGACCCTAAGAAAAAATAACCTAATAAAGTAAACAATTTTGTTTAAATTATTTTTCATCTCTATCAGATGATTGATATAAAAAAGAAAAACGTGCACGTTGATTCAATGAACTTTGAATTCATAATATTATAAATTGAAAGAAGTGAAAATGATAGAATTTCTGAAATTTTCAATAATGTTTAGATTCTCGAATATGTAGCAGATTATGCAATTCTGTGTTCAATTAAAATATTCGAGGTTAAGATATTATCTTAACAATTTCTAGTGAATGCAATTTTTGGAGGTGTATAAATATTCAAAGAGATAAAAAAATATTGAATAATTCTCCATAAAATATACATTCGACGTAATGTTGAATAATCGTAATATGTATTTGCTTTCAAAATAAAAAGAATAAGTTTTCTAGATTGTGAAATTACGTTATGATAAATTTTTGTTAGTTATTCGATCCATTCGTTCCATTGAATTTATTGCAAATTTTACTTTTCGCTGTTCAGATGATAATTATCTAGTGTTTATTCTATTTTTAACTTCCTTCTAACTTGCATTCACCGGACAGGAAACATTGTATATTGTAAGCGTGTGTCATTTTTTTCGATTGTCATAAACTGATGTAATGCAAAATATATGAAAAAGAAAAATAATAACGAGGTTAATTATGCAATCTCGAGAAACTTTTTTTAGAAAAGTATGAACAAAATTCTATTATAAAGCAAGTCATTTGATTTCGCTGTACTTAATTAACATAACTAATCAATATATTATAATGTCTATTAAATAAATTTCGATTTCTAATTGCGTTCTTTATCTGTTATCTTTCTAATGTATTAATCCAATGAAATACAATTTCTCATTTCACTAATTAATCTCCATTTATTCCTTTATCATCCTTTTAATTTACACCTTTATTTGTTATTTTATATTAATTATTGAAAAATAAAATAATTATAATCCAATTAAAATTTAATTATCCGATAAAATTATGTCATGAATTTTGAAATTTTATTTTAAAATAAAATGGTTAATATTTTTATTTTTATTTTGGGAATATTTTTGTTTATAATTTTCGCTTTTCGATTTTCGATTTCGAATTAAAGTATCGATAACTTGTCATTTTAATATCCTAGTATATTTTTTTTAATATTATACAATTAAAATATTTTTAATTGCATTTTTAAGAGAAGTAATAATTTACTAATCCTTTTTGAAATATATTTTGAGAACATAATATTCTATTATATATTTTTATTATTATTAATAATTATTTTCTAATATATACAATATATCTTTTTTATTATTTTATATTACTATAAAACTTTCAATTTTACATAATCCTCCATCGAAGCAGTCGTGGCCGAGTGGTTAAGGCGTCTGACTAGAAATCAGATTCCCTCTGGGAGCGTA